ACTGTCAGATATCATTATACTTGATCCAACTATGCCACGTCACCACTGTGCCGCGACCCCCCTGTGCTGGGTTTTTTTAGTAATTATATCAATTTATTTTTAAAAAGGCACTAGTATAGAATTTACTCAATACCTACAAAAAAGAATGAACCAATAAGTTAATACTTATTTGAGTCATTATGATATCTTAACTATATGCTATGTTAAGTGGAAAAAATGATACATAATAAATGTATTCGTAAAAAATTATAAAGTTATGTTTATGAATAAAATGAAATTACACCTTTCAGAAAAGCTAGATACAAAAATAGTGCTTATTATTTAAAAAAAAAATGTATAAACATGCAAAATCATGTTTGAGTATCGTATTACTGGCTTGTTAAATTAATTAGATTAGAAACATAATTTTAAGTAAAAATTAAATTAAAAGCAAAGTATCAGATATCTTATTTTAACAAATTTTAAAATTTTATATTTTTCATAATTTCTGAATGTTTAGAATTTATAATACATGATTTCAAAATAGGTTATTTTATGTATTTATGTTATTATTTATATATTAATATATTTTATTATTGTGGACTATTAGATGTGATTATTATATATCTTGATATAGTAATACAAATACAAAATAAGTATAATATAAAAGCTTTGTGATATTGGGGCACAGCTCACATGATGATTTTTATCATAAAGATTTTTCAACTCATCCTAATTACAAAGTAATTTATCAGCCACTGCTTTCTGTTTAAAATAATTTATAAAAATATTTAGAGACCAACAGTTTAGTCTTGTACTGTAATACCACATTTTATATCAAAGTCCTGTTAAGGATTCTTAGTATAGTATTAAAATAAAAAAACCCAGCACAGGGGGGTCGCGGCACAGTGGTGACGTGGTATAGATGGATTAAGTATAATGATATCTGACAGTGATTAAAATCACTATCAAAAAAAAACGCTTCGATGCAAATCTTTAGATAGTGTTTAATTTTAAAAAATTGGTGGA